CATTGATATTCTCCCTGAGGAAGCTGACCAGTTTGGTGGCGAGCTGGGGGTTGAGATTGCTCCCAATCCTTAACACTCTGCTCGATTCGCTTTGGTCAACTGATATTTTAGACAGGTCCTCAACTGGCCCATTGGAAAGGCATTCCTGAATACGGGGATCCATATTATCTTCGGCTATGTCAGACTGTGGCTCGATCCGATTGATCGCCATTGCCTGTCAGGGAATGTCGTGTGAGATGCCTTTCCCTTTGCACGTCATCTACACTGTTTTCACATAACAGTCACGAGATGCGGGCTGAGATCCGTTGACTTCCCCTATCCTTGTCGGGGTGGGAAACTTCATCTTCAGATGGATATCGAAGTGACTGTCTTGAAGTTTCTCAGCAGAGGTCGCCCCAAGATTCCATTAAAAGCGGATGGGCAATCCACTACCAAGAATTCAGTTACCTTGGTCACTTCGTCAAAGTCACCCAGTGTGACTAGAAGTAAGATCGTTCATTTGGGGATCAGGTGGTCCCTTGTAAAACCATATAGGGGGATCGAGGCGGGCTTCAGGTTAGCCTCGTCCAAGTTTATTCTTTCGAAAGCTGTCTGGAACAGGATGTTCACAACACTTTCGTTATCCACCAACATTCTATGGATGTTATGGCTCCCTATTAGGGGCGTGATCACAAGAGCGTCATCATGGGGATGATGCAATCGAACTGCATCCTTTTCGGAGAAGGTAATTTCCTCTTCCCTGCGAACCTTTTGTGGTCATCGCGTCGTGCTCATCACACTGATAGGGTCGTGATGGGCTGCGTGAGCATACCTTTCTTGGGCACCTCGCGAGTTCCTCTCAAGGTACGGCCCTCCAAAGATCAAATTGATGCTGCATATACCTTGGTGATCACGTCGCTTCTTTCCTGGTTCTCCTTGATTTTTCTCTTGCGCGGGATTGTAATCATCAATATATTCCTTGAAATACCCTTGCTTAATGAGGTCTTCGATTACCTGTTTAAGAGCTTGGCATTCATCAGTGTGATACCCATTATCCTGATGAAAGCGATAGTATTTCTTACTATTTCTGGCTAATGGGGATTTTTCATGGGCTTAGGCTCTCCGAGCAGGCTGGCTTCTTCTGACTTGTCAAGAATAGCTGATACAGACACATTCAAAGGCGTATACTGATTTCTGTCACGATCGCAATGAGGAACGAGAGCGTAAGACTTTTTGGGCTTATAGCACGATTTCTTTCCTTTTCGTTGATCGTCAGTAGTCCATTTGCGATAAACTCTTCGACTCTCCCCCCGACCAGACGCATTACCTGAAGCGCCAGGTCACGGCGATGGAATGCCACCACGAAATTTTCAATTCGGAGGTACTTCTTCGCAAGGTTATAGAAGCGGGTGAGGGAAACATCATCCTCAGCCTGTAACTCTTTCCACAAGTCGATCTATGGGCGAACTCCTGCTATAATGAGAGTCCGAACAGACTCTTCGGGAGTGTGAGCTACTTTATTTAGTTCTCTATGGAATCAGTTGATGTAAGACTGGAGGGATTCATCCCTCTCTTGCCTTATATTGCTGAGGTAGCTCAAAGGCATTGAGACCTTTCAGTTTGCTTGGAAATGCCTTAGGAACGTCGTGCTCATTTGAGGCCACGAGCTGATCGATCCTGTTGGGAGCGACCTGAACCATCGTTTGGCATGAGAGGTTAGAGTTACTGCCAAACAACGACACTTTGCCAAATCTGAAACCTGGTGAAGCTCCATCAAATCGTTGAATTATACAAGTGATCCTGCGGATAAGAATTTCCATCGAACACTCGCATGTCGGGCATTCTAAATCTTAACGGGAGAGGGGCAGCTAACACCGTCAGAGAAAAGGGAGACGCTGACGCGACATGCCCCTGCTCATTTTGCTAAGCTCTTAGCTGGTCTAGAGCTCGCTGCAACTCCTCAACCTGAGGCAGCGGAGCTATCTGGGGATTGCTTTCTCCCATGCGAGTTCGACCCTCGCAGTTGTGGTTGAGGAAAGTCTGGAGGTTGGATTGCACTTTGCCTCGGCCGACAGTTTCGGCCGCTATCGACACACGCTGGCTAGAGTCGTGTGATGGCGACGAATGATGCGGGGAATTTTTACGACCTCCGCGGTGGTAAGAACCGCCCCGCGAAGTGTGGGAACCTCCCACACGACTATGATCAGGATTGCGTCTCTGGCGGTGATGAGAATCACCCCGCCCAACACTTTTATGGGGGTTTCCATGCGACGTGGCATGGGACGGCTCGGGTTATGACTTTTCATCGAGTCTTAACGCCATGGGTATTCTACTCGGGATGTGATCGGTGTTCGCCGGCCCTTTGGAGCCTTTAGGCCCATTTTTTGCCACTTGTTTACACTTCTTTCGGCGTGCTGCAGTGCTCGCGGCACGGGCTATTGCCTTTTGCCGTGCTTTCACGTGACCTGCAGGCGTTTTTGACGGTTGCACCTCCTCATTTGATTCGGGTGGCACGCCTCGGTCCAAACGGTCCAACCTTCGGTTGACCGTCTGGAGAGTATTATCAAACCTCTCCAAGTAGCTTCTGATGGCAGGGTCAAGTAGTGAACTTGACGGGATATTCCCCGGGACATTTTGCGGAACCGAAGATACCTCGGGAGAGGTGTCCTCTTGTACTTAGGGGATCTCCTTAGCACCCTGGTTGGTTCGCTCAGGTTCAAGTCGGCGGGCCATTTGTTGTTGTAGGACCAGTAAGTTAGAGATTCTCCTGATGAAGGACGAATACTAAATCAGGTCCTCCTTCTAGCGCCAAACTATTGATGCATGATTTTGACACTAACCAAGCACACGTGTGAAATGCTGAGTTGGCCCAGAAGACACACGCGGGTGAAAGGAATGAGTAAAAACAATAGAGAATGGCGTTTAAAGTGGTTCGGATGCTAAGGAAGCAAATCCTACGTCCACTGATTTTGTATTAATGATAGTAGTCAGGTCGCGCTCAACGGACTGACTTACAAATGACTATACAAGAGAGAGAATGCTATTTTTTCTTTAGAGACAGTAGCTAATCCCTTAAATGAGAGAAGAGCTCTCAATTTATGGTGTGATGGATTAAGGTTATGATTACTAAATCTATGAGTTGGTGAGATTATCCGTGCAAATCCTTTTTTATGTCTCATTGCCCATCTTCTAGAGTGATTTACGCGATTTGGTGTAAGGATTGGACACGTGGAATCGCTATAGCTCCTGGCTGGTCTGACGTGCACCCACTGTCCTGACAGGAGAATGCCACCCCTATCACTGTATGACATGGCTGTCTCTGACTGGCTGGGGGCCTACCTAAGCTCTGACTTTTTATGCTGACTGAATCTTGCGTCAGCCTTATATTTTCAGGCATAACAGATACGACTGAAGAAGTATTAGGGGTGAAAATATTTGACTTTCACCCCAGAAATTCCCTCGGTTGCATAAATGGATTGAAAATTTCAGGAAAGTGCCTGTATTTAAAGAAAACCTCCCTGATCGCCAAGAGCTGGTGAAGGTTTTCAAGTTTCGCCGAGAAAAGTATGTACCGTCTGCGTGAGTGAGTGGGTGGCGGCAGTTGTTGTATCTCTCTCCCATAAACTTCAAATAAATGTTTCTAATTATTGAAAGAAAAATTCAAGATGAAAAAGGAAAGAGGGCCAAATAATGGAATAATAAAGTTGTATTCAATTGAATTCGGATAAATGAAATATAAATATAAATTAAATATTGTTTGAATATTTAAATAATGAATAGAAACAAATTTGATAATTACAACTTTTTCATGATACATTGAACAAGTGTAATTGATTTCGGATAAATGAAGTACAAATATAAACAGAAAAATGATATTAGTTTGAAAAAATTGGACCCCTAATCACTATTCCATTAAAGTCTGTAACAATTTTTCACGAGGTGTGAAATGGCCATTTTATCTCTGAAAACCTCATATGAGGTCACTTGTTGCTGTTGGAGGCTGGCTCTTTTGAATTCAGTCTATGGGGCAATTTGAATGAAACTAATTTTTCATATAAAATAATTTTTTCTATTACAAAGATTTAGTTAATATTATAAATTAACCCCAAGGAGTTGACCCTGGTGGTCAAGAAGGTTTGTCCCTTTCATTGACTTCTTAAGTTCAAACCACCGTAAGGTTACTTATCACATATTTGTGGCTTATCTTGAAACATTAGACTTATAGGATACTTAATAGGCCTTAGTGATTAGTTGAGGTGCGCATTGGTCGGATACCCTAATCATTAAAAAAGTAAAAAAGATTTGTTAATTTGATTGAAATCAAGAAATCTTTGACAAGTCTATAGTCTATACTTTAAAACTAATTATGTTGTAGTTATCTTATCTACGTTTAAAGGAAATGCCTATGTAGTTTATATAATTATGATTAAGCATCACTGATGACGAAAATTGCATTAGGAAAACAATATCAGATATACATATATTGGTAATCTCACCTAATTGATGGTGTCATTTCTAAAGGTTTCTGCCACTTGTGTATACCTACTTTATTTTTTATTTTTCCTTCTTAGACACCAGTCACCTAATATATTTATATATTAATTATATAACTACAACATATAGGTTCTCATTCTATATCGGAAAGAATTTGAAGGACAGAAGTTTACTAAGCAAGCAAAATTTTGTTCATACTTAAATTCAATTATGTAGATTGTCTTACCTTAGCATTCTATGGCATAAGAGACTGTATTGCTGAATGTACAAATGTAAGGATTAGGTGACATGAACCTTAATGTTTAATATATAAATTTAAAATATGTGACAAACAAGAATCAGTAGTTGGAGAAAAAGTTTTCATATCAACTATCAAAAGAAGTCGGAAATTCAATCTTAAATGAGGTTAACTGTGAATCAACATGTGACACCTGCAAATGGAGCTGCAGCAGTTGAACTTAAAACAAATATAAAATTTTGGATGACAAATACTTTTCTGAAGTCACCTCAAATTGCTTGGTTAATTAATAAATTCTGAAGCTCACTGCTCAAGCAAGATATAATCCAATATTCACTATAAATTGACATTACTTGTTTATTGATCTCACAAATATGGCTGAAGTGAAGCTTCATGGGAAATGGCCGAGTCCATTTAATTACAGAGTCATCTGGGCTCTAAAACTGAAGGGCATACCTTATGATTATGTAGAAGAGGATCTGGAGAATAAAAGTCCATTGCTTCTGCAGTATAATCCAGTCCACAAGAAAATCCCGGTGCTTGTTCATGGTGGAAAACCAATTTGCGAGTCCATGGTCATCATTGAATACATCGACGAGATGTGGCCTGAGAAGCCCTTGCTGCCAAGTGATCCTTATGATAGAGCCGTGGTTCGTTTTTGGATTCGATTTGCAGAAGACAAGGTGCATTTTAAAACTTAATTTGAATGCGTTTAGTTTGTCATGTTTATCAACGTTTGATGACATAAAATTATTCTTGCAGGGTCTTGTAATCTGGAAATTGTTCTATAGTAATGGGCAAGGCCAAGAACACAAGAAAGCAATGAAAGAGTGCGTGGAAATGCTAGAAACAGTTGAAGAACATGGCTTTGGCTTAGGAGAGAAGAAATTTTTCCATGGAGAAAAGGTTGGCGTAGTCGACATAACATTTGGTTCAATTTTGTATTGGCTAGATGTGATTGAAGAAATATTAGGGGTGAAACTACTTGAACCCCAGAAATTCCCTCGCTTGCATAAATGGATTGAAAATTTCAAGAAAGTGCCAACACTTGAAGAAAATCTTCCTAATCGCGAAGAGACGTTGGTGTTTTTCAAACTTCGGCGAGAAAAGTTTTTGGCATCTGCATGACTGAATGCAGTCACTTACTATGTGGGATTTCTAGACTTCTCTCGGTTGTGAGCTATACTTCTTTAGGCTCGACAGTGGTTTTCCCTGCATGTACCAATCACGAGGCTATTGTGTGGTCAGTACTTTTGTGTATAAGAGAGTATTGAGTAATGAAGAGATTTAGCTCTCAAATTTCGCTTGCAGCAAGATAGTCTTTTAATTCACTTAAAACAAACTAAGCTGTGTCATTTAAATTTACGAATTACATCAATTACACCAATTACATCAACCACATACTCTCTATTCCAATATTAGCTCTATCTTCTTCTATTTCATATTAACCTTATCTTCTTCCTTTTTTTCTTAACCTTAACACAAATTTCTGAAATTCCAGTTAATGCTCCGGGTTTGGCGCTCCAACATTTTTCTTCTCATCCAAAACTGTTACATCATCCACTTCAAAATTCTGAAACCAAAACCTAAATATTATGAAATCTCTCTTGGGCTGAAAAAAATAAATGAAAAGCTGGTAGCATTTTTTAATTAGTAATGAAGAGACACATAATATAAACCCAGATTGCAACATAATTCAACCATAACATATCATTTGGGCCAGTTAATTAATTAGGATATTGTAATGTTTTCTCAATCCACTATGATTTTTATCCTCATTTTAGATAATGTTTTCATTAAAGCTTAAAATTCAATATTATTTCTTTAAAAGTTAGATAGGTAAAAGATGAGGACGCTTTTGGAACAAAATTTTATTTAATGAATTTCTTTTAATAGGTGGCTTAACAAGAATTATTGTTTTGAAACCCAATCAGATCGTTTCAACTAGACCTGGCAAAGTGGGTGGGTGGGCCGGGTACAATCCGGGTTAAACGGGTACGGGGCAAACGGGTACGAGTCTTTATACGGGTCGAAATATACGGGTCCAAAGTATTGGACCCATGCCCTACCCTATATGAGTACGGGTGGATCCGCGGGTGGACCCATTTTTAATTTCTCAAAACTTAAAACCCCATCCCATCAAGATTCAAGGAAAGCTGAACATTTATCTTGCCTTCAGTCTTTGTCTTCCTCCATCAAGGTTCAAGAAAAGCTAAACATTTATCTTGTCTTCAGTCTTCGTCTTCCTCCATCAAGGTTCAAGAAAGGCTAAACATTTATCTTGCCTTCAGTCTTCGTCTTCCTCCATCAAGATTCAAGAAAAAGCTGAACATTTATCTTGCCTTCAGTCGTCGTCTTCCTCCTGCTTCTTCTTTGCCATGGCCAGAATCGAACCCGATTGGAGCACACTTCCTAAAGAAATCCTCTTCTCCATCGTAAACCTTCTCCTTACACGAATCGATATCCTCCGTTTGCGCGCTCTCTGTCGTTCATTTCGCGCCACAATTCCTCTTCCTTCAGAACAATACCCATTCCCACACTCTATTCTAGCCACCACCAACTTCCTCAAAGGCCCATACCCAAATGAAGAAGACCTCTTTGACTTCACCGTCTCAACTGTTTACGCCATCGAGCCCCTCAACAAAACTTCCCATACCAACGAAGAAGAAACTCTTCAAACGTGGGTGGTCAGAGTCCAAGAGCCAAACCCAGGTAGAGTCCGAATCATTGATCCAGTTTCTTGTTCAGAATGTAAAGACTTGTCCGATCACTTACCAAAGTTTTTAAATTTGTTGGATTATCGGGTTACTGAAATAACTAAATCATACCAACTTGTATCAACTGATAAACAACATATTGTTGTGAAATTGATATTCCAAAATTTTCAATTCAATTAACAAAGCAACACTCTCCAAACTCGCTGGTACAAATTACAGTATCAAGACTCAAATTTTATTATATTTTTTAATTTTCTTGCATTTTCTTGGCAACCAAACAGAAAGGAAGAACTAAAACCACCGAACCAGATCTGTAAAATACAAAAATTACGATCCAATCACAAAATAAACACTCTCCAAAAAATAACGTCATCAAAACTCACAAACTTTCTTTAACTTCCTTTAATTTTCTCAGAAACCAAAGCATTCAAATAAATAATCAAAAAAGCGAAGATCGAAACCTGAAGAGGAAGGAGAACACTTAACATAGCGATGAGATGAGAGATTGAGAGAATGAATCAGTGACAGTGATGAAAGATTCAGAGGTGAGAGAGAAGAGAAAGTTTGTTTTAGAGTTGGGTGGCGTTAGTGGGTTAGGGACTTAGGGTTCAGCTTTGAAAAAATGGGGTACCCGCGGGCACCCACGGGTTTACCCGTGTAACCCGTTAAAAAACGGGTCAATCCGGGTACGGGTGAAAATTAAACGGGTCCAATATATTTAACCCATGCCCTATATTTTTTATTCAGGTACGGGCTGACCCGCGGGTCTGAACCCGTTTTGCCAGGTCTAGTTTCAACTAGTCAGACTGGGAACTAACCATTGAACTGAGCCGGTCAATGTGAAAAACCGAAAGTGTGAGTTTACTCAATTTGAACCACGGTTGTGTTAGTAAACGGTCCCGTATACGCAGCGGAAACAAAAAAATAATATAACAGGATCGTTTACATGAGCCAAGATCAAGGGTATGATTTTACAATTTATATTAAATTAAAATCTGCATAAATATTCAACATGAGTTGAGAGAAACAAACGCACGTTGAAGGTTCCTCCAAATTTGTCGACGAACGTTTTGCTACCGATCCAAGTGTAGGATCGAACCTGCGTAGTCCACACGAAGACAATCTTAAAAGAACCAAAGAGGGATTTGCTAGATCCTCTTTGGCTTCAAGATTAAGAAGAAAAGAAAAATCAATTGAATTGATTTTTGGCACACAAAAGTTACTGCCGTGGGAGTGTATTATCAAAGAGAGGCTGCTGTGTGTATTTTGGTTTTACAAAGAAAAACTCTTAATTAAAATCACACACACTTTTCCTTTTATATTTAAAAACAATTTGCCCTAACCCCATACGGAATAGGCTTGGGCTCCAACCCAAACGCCCCATGTTGCCAAACACTCCCAATTTGATTTATTTTAATTTCCATCATTATCTCAATTAAAATCAATTAATATATATATATATATATATTAACATTTAGCAATAATGATAATATATTTAAATATGTGTGCGTAATTTCACTTATTTAATTTTTCTAACAAATTAAATAAAGGCTACGACCTCAGCAAATTTAATTGCACTGTGAAATTACCAAAATACCCTTTCGCCTTAAAAGACGAAAACGCCCTTCTTTCTTCTTACATCTTAAATTGTCTTCTATGTGTGTGACCCTTAGGCTCCTCATCATATCGGCAGTGTATAGTATTGCGATTAACACCAATTAATCGTCTCACTAATACACAGACCAAGATTGGCCCCTAGCAAGGCATCATGGCCACCCGATAGATTCGGATTCAGCAAAGTAGCTACCTGTCAACGATATGGTTACCGTGCAATTCGATCCTTTCATCATACGTTATCTCGATGAGACGAAGGCATAGAAGTAGTGTCAACCTTCGGTTACTCTCGATATTATTTATTCAGTTTCTGGACCAATGACCCGTATTATAAACTGGATAGAGCAACAACTCAATCCCACTGTGGCCACAGTTTTAGTGTCATTGCCATATACTGAATTGCGCCGTGAGATAACTTTCTCCCGTACCCGGGAGTGATAAATCCTCTGTCAATCCACCATAGTCTTGATACACTCCTTGATGCAGCCAATCACCACCGTATTGACAGCTCTGAAAAGAACTGCGTTAGGCTAGTGTCAAACTACACCAATCGGTGCACAAGGCGCTCCGGTAATCTCAAGTCTAAGAATCACATGCACCACCATTCGTTAGAGGATTTGTTCCATAGACACTGGGGTTACCATCCATATGGAATCCTCTGGTGGGTCAGTCTAGTGAACTTGCTGTGGTGTAATCGCCTACAACAAACACCCATGTGTTGCACCAGGTTGTCACCAAACAACCTTGACAAGTGAGATCAGTCACTACCTTTCGACAGGGTCGTTCAACACTATGATAGCCTTACCGTATTATCTGTGCCCTTAGTTTAGAATAATACTGGGGCTACAGACGTTTCTAGAATGGCCACCATATGTGCTCATAGGGTTCTCACTATCAAGATTTGAAACACTTGATACCCTCGTCACGGATCTACCATTCTAAGGACATATATCAATACATATTGCAATAATAATGATTTACGCGATATAGAATAAAATGCCTTTTATTGATTAATGAACATTATTACAAAGAGTCAATTCTACAATAATTAATTGGCTCTAGCCATCTACTGTAACAGGTTGGACAGGTGTTACTATAGCAACCCGTCGGTCCAACTGGGTTAGCTCTTGCTCCCATTCTAAATCTTTTTTACCATATTTTCATTCAACTATCGAGCCCTAACCTAGAAATCTTCATTACATTTTCTCTCTTCCATTGTCGCTTTCTTCATTTCATCTTCATTTCAGCTTCATTTCATCTTCACTTCAGCTTGAGTGAATCTTCCCTTTGCGCAAGCAATCTTCACTCCATCAAAATCAAAACCTAGAAAGTTCATTTAAAATTCGTCTTTTTCGTGCCAAATTCCACAAGAAAAACGACTTAAAAACCAGTAAAAAAGGTGCAGAGAAACAAAAACCAAATGGGTCTGTTAATGGTGACGATTCAAAGAAAGATCAACGGAGCCTGTTTAATTTAATGTGGGGTGAGATTTTGGACCCGGATATGGATAACATATGCGCCATTGGATTGACAAGATTATTGACTTGGAAGAGTGTTCAAGTGTTGTGGCAATTACTGGTAATTTCGTCGGCCATCTTTGTTGCCACTTTGAAATATTCTTTCATTACGGCCCTTCTCATCTTCATTCTCATTACTCTTCTTTGATTTGTATAATTCTGTAATGTATAATTGACTTTTGTGAGTACCCAAAGTTTGAAATTGTGGACGTTGTTATTGTTGTTCACCAAATGTTTAATAAACTGCCTGACCAACATAATTTCTGACCAACTTGATTATTTTTAACTCGCACAGGATACATGACAAATGTTTACAATCGATTATTTATAGTTGCATTATAAATTGATAGTGGGAAAACATATCCTTTTGACTACTTTAATAGTTGCATTATAAATTCAAGGGAGGAATTTGATATATATCCTTTCGACTATTTTGATTGAGGATTCACATATCACATACAT